CAGCCTCTGCAGCCCAGGGCAGCACGTGTGGGTCTCAGGTGCCCCCGAGGCGTTGGGGCCGTGTGGGGCAGCCTTCCTGCAGCGAGATCCGGGGTTCCCCTCTGCTCTCAGGAGCTGCACCTCACTTTGGGCCGTGGAGGTGGCTGGTGGGTTGTGCTTTCGTACCCCTGGGCTGAGATCCTTGCACAGCTGAGAGCACAGAGGTGTTTCTGCTGCAGCTGGGGTGACACATTTCATAGAATCCCAGACTGGTTTGGGTGGGAAGGGACCTTAAAACTCATCCAGTCCCAACCCCCCTGCCAGCAGCAGGGACACCTTCCACTAGACCAGGTTGCTCAAAGCCTCATCCAGCCTGGCCGAGAACACTTCCAGGGAGGAGCAGCCACAGCTTCTCTGGGCACCCTGGGCCAGTGTCTCACCACCCTCACACCAAAGAATTTCTTCCTGATGTCTGGGGCAAGGGAAGTTGCTGTAGGGGGGGGACTGAGAGCTGAGGACCATGGTCAGGTCTAGTTTAGAGGCCAGAAGGGATTTCTGGCTCCTAGAGCAATGGCCATGGTGGGCACAGGGTCCCAATGCAACTTCCCTCCTCCCCCATCCCTCGCAGGGTGCAGTGTCTGGGTCTGTGCAGGCCACCGACCGGCTGATGAAGGAGCTCAGGGATATTTACCGATCACCAAGTTTCAAGGGCGGTGAGTACCGAGGGGAGCTGGGGGAGGGGGCTGCTGCCTCCCTGCTCGTGCTGGGGTTTTCCTCCTCGTTTTGGGTGGCACCTCATGGGCCTTAGAGCTGTTCTGCTCAGCTGGGGAGAGGATTTGTGACCTCTGGTGATTGTGGCTCTGTCAGGAGTGAGCAAGACTGCCCTCCTGTCCATCTGTTCCCTGCCCGTGCTGGATGGAAGCGAGGAGCATGCTGTGGGTGGGACAGTTATCTGGCTTTGAGGGTGATGGTTCTCCAGCCCCTTTCCTGAACACAAGGACTTGGGAAGGAGCAGTCATAGGAAAAGTGCTGCCCTCAGGATCGTCTTTATGGCCAAGTGCTGCTTTTTGAGGGGTTCTGTGCCAGGCTGAGGTTGTGCTGCAGGGCCAAGGGGATGTGAGATCTGGGTGGTGGCTCGATCTCCTCTTGAGTTTTGCTTCTCCTCTGCCTTGCAGGATACTATGCAGTTGAACTAGTGAACGACAGCCTGTACGATTGGAACGTCAAACTCCTGAAGTAGGTGGCATAGCTTGGGATCATGCAACTGTGGTGGATCTTGGTGCCAGAGGGGAAGTGAGCAGGACAGGGGAGCACCTGGCAGACCTTGGGGCAGCCTCTCTCAGACAGCTTGCTTGCTGTCTCCACGTCAGAAAGGAGATGACATCTCCAAAGATGAGATAATCTGAAGGGCGAGGGCTCTGCAAGTCTGTCTGGTGTTCCTAGAGTCCTGGAAGAGGTGCATCAGACAAAACCCTGAGCTCTCACACCCTCCAGACACCAGTGCTGCCTTTTCCTTGGGCCAGGCAGTCTTTATCTTTAAGCTGGCAGCATGGAAAAAGGGTGTGATGGTCTTCTCTGCAAACTGGGAGCAGAATGCTGACAGCCCGTGCTGTCGCTGGGCCCCCGTGCCAGCCCGGTTGTGCAGGTACAGTAGTTGTGGGGTTTGGTGCCACTGAGCCGCTGATCTGAGCTGCCCAACCTCAACTCTGACCCTCTGGGCTTTTCCTTCGGCAGGGTTGACGAGGACAGCGCTTTGCACAATGATCTCCAGATCCTCAAAGAGAAAGAAGGAACAGATTTCATCCTCCTGAACTTCTCCTTTAAAGTAAGGCTTTCCCTGCCCCCCCCCGAGATACACCCGAGTGTATCCGACGGGTGAGTCGTCAGAGAGGACGTTTCTCAAAGGCTCAAAGATGTTTCTCCCCTTCTCTCCTTCCAGGACAACTTTCCTTTTGATCCACCGTTTGTAAGGGTCGTGTCCCCGGTGCTGTCAGGGGGGTAAGTAACTCTCTGCTCCCTGGGGTCTCCAGTGCTGCTTCCTGCAGCAGTTTTTACTGAGAGTTTCCTCCGCGCTGCACAGTCCGGTCACCTCCCTGACAGGAGTTTGCAGGAGCTCTCCCAGGAAGCACAGACAGGGGTGTGGTGGGGTTTTATTTTTTCTGGTGTATTTTTCCATCTCAGATCTACTCTGAGAAAATTACTTATCTCTGGAGCAGCGAGTGGGTGAGTCCCTGTCCATTTCTGACATAACTTTGCCTCATTCCTTCCCCAAAGGTACGTTCTGGGTGGCGGTGCCATCTGCATGGAGCTACTTACAAAACAGGTGGGTACCAGCTGCCACGGGGGGCTCAAAGCTGCTAGTGTCACCTTGGGTCACTACTGCTGTTTGCTCTCCGGTATATTCCTGCCCTTGGGGCCTGCTGGCAGCCAAATCCTGCTTGTAACCCTGGCTGGCAGCTGCCTGGAAGGCTTTGTGATGCCTGGGCTGGGCTGGGCTGGGGAGGTTGTTTCTTTACCGTGGGGAAGCACAGCCCCTTGTTGGGGGTCCTGTCTGGGCCGGGGGTTCTCACCATGTTGTGCTCTGTCCCTCAGGGCTGGAGCAGCGCCTACTCCATCGAGTCGGTCATCATGCAGATCAGTGCAACTCTGGTGAAAGGGAAGGCACGAGTACAATTTGGAGCCAACAAGGTGAGGCCCAGTCAGTGTAAGAGAAGCTGAGGAGCGGTTTGAGTGGGGTGGAGGCAGGTGATGAGCAGGTAGCAGCTCGGTGCCAGCTGGTTTGTGTAG